ATTTAAGATGAAAACACTGGAAAGGAAACCCATTTGGGAAATTATAGTCACCAAGATTATAACATTTTTATCAAACAGTGAAAACAGCTGTTGATACCATCTGGGAGTCCAAATCAAGGCCTTCACGTTTCCCTGACTGCAAGTGACCACAATGAGCACTTGATGTGTAGGCAAATAAAGTTAGCAGAAAATGCAGTTTGACTATTAGACCTTAATAAAAGTACTACAGATTTGCGCGGACTTGCTAAATATTTAGCTATTTGAGCATTTCTAAAACGTTTTAAACCCTCATGGCTACAGCCTCGTTTTAAATAAGTTTAGGCTGCAGTAGTGTCGGATACTAATTGTTTTTCGCCTTTGCACTCAAGCCCACCCAAGTTTAACTCTTGCAGAGTGAGTGAGGAGTGAGGGTTTACCGGACATCAGGTTTGGTTTTCCCTTGGTGTTGGGTGTGGTGCACACACCGGTGAAATCCAGAGCGTTGCCCAGCATAGTGTTCATCCTGCGGAAGATGTCTGCGTTGCTGCAGGTGGACAGTGCCGGAGAATCGGTGTCTGGGCTCTCAGGCCTGCGGGCTTCGTTTCTCTGCAGAAGGAGGCCGTGAGAGGGACACAATTAACCCGGCACTCATGCTAAAAGCTAAAGGTCAACCTTGTGCACCATGCTGCAAAGTGAATTTTTGTTTGTTTGTTTTGTTCCGGGGAGGAACTAATGGGCCAAATGAGGCGGACATACGGTCAAATAATAACGTTAGACGTGGCGCAAAACTGACTTATTTCACCCATTTAATGCAGTTTCAACTCACCAGGGAAAACGCCATGATGTGGACAGACAGCCTAAAAGAAATGTCACAACAACGACCGCTGGCTGCAATAAAAGGTCATATTTATGAGGCGTGCTAACAGCTAATTAGTCATAATTTAGTGAACGTGTGCCCAGCTAATGACGGTGCTCGAGGGCCTCGTTCCGTTCACGTGCTCCACATCAAAGAGCAGGCCGCTGAAGGGAAAATCACGTGTTACTGCGGCCAATAATTTCAAGAGAGGCTTATTTAAAAATTACAGGGATATTTATCAATATTATAGCAGACAGAATATGTTTTATACGTGCAAACGTGAATTATGTCATTAAAATAAAATAAAATACGCCAATATCTAAAACCACAGTGCTCTCAGTGCTTTCTGCGATGGAATCACAGCATATAGGACAAAAAACAAAATAGTATATTACTATAATTTCAGATGGATGTGAACTACATTTTTTTCTTATAAATTAATGTAAAATTGTTTTTTTGTGCAAACTGAACTTAACTCAAATACGACTCTTCAGTTCAGAGGCATGCCTTTAAACTTTATTTATCAAGAAAGGCAAGACTTAAAAACAGTTGTGAAGACCTCTAGTAATAACCTGACTAATAATAACTACTACAAAAACAAATAAAAACAATGAAATAATTATTAAATATGTTCATAAAAACACGTTTATACAAATGTTAGACAATATAAAAACAATAACATTCCAGGGTTATTGGAGCTTTACTTTGAAAATATTCAAATCAATTGAAAGGAAACACATTGTGTGTCTCATTCTTTCTTACAAACAGCTTCATATGCTTTATCATTGTGACCCAAGTTTCAATATAGCAGATCTTAAATTCTTTCCTCTGGTATTTTACATTGTGTTGTAATCGTCCTCCGGAGGATGCAGCCTATGAATCCGGACACACCACAAATAAATAAATATTAAACTTGGAGCTGCAGCCTCCCACTCTTTTCCTTTGTATAATTATAACAAATTACCACTTAGGGACTATGCTGATGTACTCCTATTTATTAGATGACCTGACAAATCTATTGAATTTCGGTAGGGCATATGAACTGAGAGCTTTAACATTAAATCACCTGCTTAATATTGTGCTGCAAAACAGCTCTGTCATCAGTGGGATTGACATGGTATCTCTGGGGTTGTCTTTTGGTTTTTTTGAATCACAAAGGTTGGGTCCTGTGGGTTGCCTCGGTAGATGGAGTTGTTCCCTGGGGTCTCGTGCAAGCTTGTTCAGCTTGAGATTTGAGATGTTTGGAAGCTGGGTCAGCACCTGGGTCTCCTTGCTGTGTTCCTTGTGTGGTAGATGCATTGTCCTGCTGGGGGAACCCCTGCTGGTGTTGCAATATTTAGGTGGGTGGTTCGTATCTCCTTAAATTCCAAGACCCGAGGTTTTGTAGCAGAGCGTTTTATTAAAACAAGATGATTAATTTTATATGCTTTACCTGCCAGTGGTTTTAATGCTATGGCTGGTGGGTTGTCATTTCATTAAAGAAACTCTGGAGGAAGTCATTTGTTGGCATCTTGTCATTTTCAGTGAAGTGTTGCAGTATTTATTTGACACCTTTTTTCTTTTATAATTCTGGTTCCAGTGTTACATAAGTCTGCAAGAGGTTAAAAAGAGCTCAAAGATTAGTGCAGACCATCACAAACCCAGTTGCAGTTATGGGAATGAAGTGCACTTTTGCTAACCTCCGCCAGATTTCTGTAACCTTTACAACAACACAGCAACCTTGTACTCTGCACCTGCACGTTGATAATATCAGACATAAGCAAGATGCCAAAAACATTTGCTAAAATTGTTCCAAGGTCTTTTGTTTCAGTGGCCCACAGTTGGGCTTTGCTCCTTTGGCCTCTCCTCATCTGTATCAAGGTCATTTGTAGGTAGCTAAAACTAAAAAAGAAAGAACATTCTAGTTAAGTGAAATAAAACAAAATCCAGCAACAACTAGCTTTAAGAAGAAAAAGGTCTATATCACTGGGACTTAAAAATGTTTTGCTTGTAATACCTTCTATGAACTTGTTAAACCTCTTCTGTGAAAAATACCCATTTTATGTACAGAAGCTAATTAAACTTAAAGTACAAGTAAAAGTTCATCTGAAATGACAAGTTTGCCTCTGTACACTGTCAAAGTTGTTTTTAAATAAAACAAGATGCAACTGAAATTAAAAAAAATCAGCTTTTATTCAACATGTTCAGCAGAACTGTTCATAATTTTTTACACGTATCCGTTTAGAGGCTTGATTTGTACAGTCGACTCACAAGCGGTTTCAAGGCTGTGTTACTGTTATTCTAATGACAAATGAAGTTCTTTAACAAATGCAAATTAAGAATAAAAAAACTGCACTGGTGAGTAAATTTGAAATGGACCTATTTCCCTCTTAAAACTAGTTGAATAGTTTTATTACCTGCCAGAGAACAGAGTACATTAACATTAAAAATATATGTATATTTCATCGCAAATATGATTTAAAAAACACGAAACAGGATCAACTTGTGAACCTGCAGATTGTGGTTTATAAAGAGGCTTAGGTTATGATCCACTCTGTTGTGCAATGAACAGCAACTGGGTGTTTTTAGATTGAGGGATGTGACAAGTTTATATCGTACAACAATAAGAGAATAACAAAGAGTACACACGGCAGATGACCAAAATAGCATTGTAGGTAACCTGTGAAGGGATTCAAATTGTCCAATTAACTGACTCTGGCTGGCTTTTCTAATAAAATATGCTTTCTGAGACTGTAATCACAGACAAGGAACCACTACTTACTTGCACTTAAAGATGGATGATATATGCATGTATTGATTTGTGAGGGTGGAAAGTCTATGCAGCAGCAGACTTAGTCATGTGACAATATAAAAATAGAGCAAAGCACACTTAAAGTACATCAAACAGCAGTTAATACTGGAATAGAGCAGAATTATATTTGCTGTATGTCAAACTCATGATGTGCACCTGGAAATTTAACATTATGTGGTTGAAAACTATAGGAAAGAGAGAGTGCACGGGAAAAATGAGTCATTCAAAGGAGAGTTCTAATGAGAACACTGCTGGCTGAAGACGCTGCTGTGTAGACACTCTTACTTCCACGAGAGGTCTCTGTAGCTGCTGCAGGTCAGCTGCTCATGTGGGAGCTGAGCCGGCAGAGGGCAGAACAAACCTGCAGTGAGAAACAACTGGTTTTTTTTTTGGTTTTTTTTAAAACACCACTACCAAACTGGAACAAGTTAGTTTTGTTATGAGCCACGTGTGCTGTGAACACAAGAAAAACTTGTGTACTTTACGTCTTTCTACATGTTGCAGTACGTGAATACATTTCACAGAATTCTATCCGATACACAATTAGAAAAAAAAAGTCTTAAATTTATTATGTATTTACTGTGTTTCAGTTAGTACCTGTTCTCCTTTCTGCAACGCAGAGTAAGATCTGTGAAGAAACAACATTGAATCCTCTCGATGAAGGAGCAGATAGTTCAGGTTTACATTTGGCCCCAGCCGATGAAAACAGAGAAAGAGAAACTGTTCCTTTCAATCTGTAGCATCCCCATCTTAGCACTCTATTGATTTTATGTCAATCCAAATACTCTGAGATAGTGATGTTAAGTGACCCATATTTCCATGAAGGGCAAATGGCTGATTCTTGGGAGAATATTGGCTTCTTGTGAGGCATTTGTTGCTCTTTTGGGTTTTTACGTGTTTTAGAGTCACTGTCACTGTCTCTGGTTTAATTTAATTAGGTTCAGAAAATTCACAGAAATACTCAATATGATAATAATATATACATGTTTTCCAAGGTGATTAAATGACTTGCTTGATCAAGTTTTCTTTTAAAAATTCAAGTTAGAGAATTTTTAATGATCCAAACAGATCAAACCCATTTTAACCCATTATAGTGATAGTATGAATTTATTTTAGCTTTAAATGATAATGTTCTAAAGTCACCAGAGGAATTAAACTAAATATAAAATTTATAAATCAATTTCTAAAATAAAAAAAAGACTTAAATATGAATGTGGACTACCAGTCATGTATTTACACAGGGAATTTAATGTTTTTGCATATTTTTCCACACTAACATGTTTCAGATTATCAAACAAATTTTAATATTGGACTAAAACTACTGACGTAAATACGAAATGCAGATTTGAAATCATTTGAGGGGAAAAGGTTTTCCAAACTTAGCTGGGCTTACATGAAAAACCCAACAAATGGTTCTTCCACCCTTGTCAGCAAGAACTGCAGGAAAACATTTGTGATAACTGGCGATGAGTCTTTGACATCACTTGGGGAATTTTGGCCCAATTTTCTTTAGAGAATTCATTCAGACACACTGGAGGGTTTTCTATCACAAACGGCATTTCATTAGGTTCAACTCCAGACTTTGACTACGCCACACCAAAAACTTACTTTTGAACCATCCACATGTGGACCGTATGTTTTGACTCGTCGTCCTGCTGCAAATCAAGTGTGCTTGAGCTTCAATGATTGAAGCGATGGCCAGATATTCTCCTTCAGGAAGCGGCAAAGCAGCCTCAGACAGTCACACTACCACCACGTTTTTGTGATGTTTTGTAAAATATGCTAATTTTATACCAGAGCAGAACTCAAACCTTTCAAAAAGTTCAGTTCGCCAGTTTTCTTTATCCGTTGATAATTGCCCTTACCGTGGCTTATTGAGTCCCAAAGCCTACAAACTGCTTTGTAACCCTTTACAGACTGACAGGCATCAATGACTACTGGTCATTCATTTAGATCGTAGCATAATGCGTTTGTTTGCTTTAACCTGCTTCACTTTATCAGACAGGTTCCAATTTAAGGGATTTTTGATTTTTGACTTGGTTCAGAAGGTCTGGCAGTAATTTGACGTGGGTGTGGCCATTGAAAATAATAAAACAAAATCTTCATTTAACAATGGGAGTCTATCACATTTGACATGTCCAGGGAATGTTTGTAAAAGCTTTTTTCACTTAAAAATCATTTAGAAACTGCACTTTGTATTTATTAGGGTCATATTTACCTGGTATTAAATTTTCCTTTGATTGTCTGAAACATTTAGTGTGACAAATGTGCCCCCCCCAAACAAACAAAGGCCAAATACTTTTTCATGGCACTGTCGCTTAATTAGCACAATATTGTCAAATATAAATAGTTACCACCAGCACCACTTCAATTAGGCAGCTGGTCATATTGAGAAGAGTTGCTTAAGAGTCCCTGGAGGATCCATCACGGTAGGTTGAGCAGAGCATTTTAGCAGCTAATGAAGGCAGAGTGTGGAGGTCAGCTCCACATATGACGCAAACAGACATTAATGCAGTGGTGCATCACAAATGAAAAGTTCGTATGAATTATTGATGCCAACATCTGATGTTTCTTTGAGTTAGCATAGCGTTGGAGCGTTTAACTTTAGCGACCGACTTGACTCTGTGAGAAATGACAGATGTCCAGATATATGCATTCACTTTTTATTCATAAGATGGGATTATCATTTTTTACATCTTATGCACAGCAGATACAAAGACAAACAGGTTCTAAACCACAAACTAAATTCCTCCATCAGTCTAATCCTGCTTCCCATTTCAAAATGCCCCCACCCCCCCCAAAAAAGCAACCCTTTGTTTGTAGTCCAGTTTCACATTCTGACAGATCATTTTACAGCAATCTCATTTTAGCAGAATGGCACAAGCCACGTTCAGAATACTTCCATGTTTTGACAGATACCCACTTCCCCTTTAAACAAATTGCACTTTTTCTTCTTTAAAACTACTTCAACAGGATTATAGGCTCAAAAACACCAAAAACACAAGAGACGACTAAACATACAACTTATACAGGTTCATTATTTAGTTGCACAAAAATGCATAAATATACATTATGCAAAAAGTACAAAAATATTTGTACTTTCCTTTACTCAAATAATGACAAACATTGATATGATCATAAGGACTGGGATTGTCAGAACATAGGGATGCATTCACAAGGTCCATGCGAGATAAGCCATTTACACAACAGCCTAGCTTTCACAGAGGTAAGACCAAGGTTCTACAGATAAACAAAACATTTCGCTGTCTAGGCCAAGGAAAAGCGGCAACACATACACTAAGAAAATTAGGATACACAGAACTCTGCGTTCTAAATTCATGCCAAAAAGACTTTAACATGCAATCACTTATAACGCTTCTAAACCTCCCAGGAGCAGCGGTAACTCAGGGAAGGACTAGCTTAACAACAGTTGCTTCAATGCATCAATTTTCCTCAGCAATTATGAGCCATGGAGTTTGAAAAGGTTTTGCATGAGGTTTTTTTTTTTGAAGTGCTAAGATGGTACCACAATAGTTGCCAAGGATAAGCTCAGATTGTCGACAGCAAACTGGTCTTAACTCAGGCTCCCCCAGAGACAATCGGAAGGAGATATAAATACTGTTTGCTTATAGTAATGCACATTTGTCCATTAAATAAACTGATTAAATTAATGCAGAGCTTGGCAAACCTCACTTCAGCTGGACAAAGGTGTGGCTTCCAGAGGCCTGAAGAAAAAAGGGGAGGAGACAGACAAGACTATCAGTTTTAATGCCAGGTAGCTTCCCAGTTTAAAAAACCAAAATGATCTAAGACCGTGTGAGTGCTCAGACTTCCCTTTTCCATCTGTGGTGCTCAGCCCCAAAACAACTGGTTCAAATTTAAGTCAAACACCTTAACAGGACATTTAAAAAAAAAAAATGATCCAGTTACCCAAACTGCTAGACACACTGCTAGTATATCCTGTATACTCAAACAGAGGCAACTGGTGCATTTGCTGGGGACATTTCAGCTGTGGACTAATGGACATTTGATGCATTAGTAAACATTTACAGCAGAATGCAGACTGACCCCAAAAGGAGGGGAAAACAAACCCTACAGTATCTGTTCATGGTAAAGTGTCAGCCAGTCAAGAGTCCTATAATAGAAAAACTACATCACTGGTCTAAAAGTTCAGTGTGATGATAATCACCTATTCTGCAACAACGATCATACCCCTCTGCTGGAAACACCCATTCATGCACCAAATATGTTAATCCTCAGCTCAAACCCCTGCAAAGCATCTTAAAACAGATGAAAACTGCTTCAAATGGGCAAAGAAATTCATTTAAATACACAAAACTATATATAAGAAACAAAAAGCATAAGAGTTGTGTTTTAGGAAGCCATTTTACATTATAAAAAGATCAAATTTGAAGCCTTTTTATAAAAATGTACATCTTTAATGAGAACAAATAATTTGGGGCCGAGTTACAGAAAGGCTCGGGAAGTCCTGGCTACATTAACGTCTTACTGGATTTTGGCAATAGAAATCAGAATATTGCCAGCCCTGTCCTTTAACAGCTAGTCAGATATTCAGGGATATGTATTTGTGTTTTTTATTGTGCTGTGTTTACTTATAAATTATGATGTGTCATTATGCAGGTTTCAGTATGTATGACATCAGGCTAGCAGCAATAAGTGGGACGGTGACAATTCTAAAAATACTGTTTGACCAAAGGTTACTCACTAAATATCTAACAAAACTGCCGGGACTTCCATCCAGGCTGGGAAGTCTCAGAGGGAGTAGGGTACCAGCGCATCTAAAGAAACACAAACACAGTCATGTACACCAGACCAAAACCAGGCTTCAGTGCTTCAATCTACAATTCTGCAGATTAACAATTAATACTCGGAAACGATACTTTTATAGGCAGGTTTAGGAGGACCGAGTGTCCCTTTAAGCCCTAGTCACTGAAGCCATGGGAATGTGGGTCACGTAGCTGCTCATTCAGGACAAGTCCTGGAGTAATTAACAGGCATGGAAATGTGGAGAGGTGAACTTCTCCGTGTGTTAAACATTTCCACAGGGTAGGAGCTGGTATGTCTGTACCTTTCCTTACCTGTGACTAAACCTTAGAAAATGAGGCCTCCTGTTTCTACAAACTGTTATAGGCCACAACTGCACGGCCAGAATGCTCAACATAGTTCTGCAGTTATCAACACTTGTTTGGAGACATGTCGAGGATTTTTTGGTTGTGTCGTAGATAAAACAAAAAAAGCCAGGCAGTGGAAGAGCATTAGGATCGGCGGCATTTTAGGGGATCTTTCATCAGAATGCAATTAAAAGCTTTTCCCTCCTTTATGTTTCTACCCACTCAGCTTCTCTTCCAGCAGGAACATAGACAGTAAGTTGGCACCTCCAGAAAAGGCCATAAGGTCCGACAATTTCTCCAAGCAAATGCCTTACATTCCTGAGCCCTCTGTGTGTGACAAGATGGCCAAAATAATAGCTGCCTACTTTACAGTCTAGCACTCCCCTGCACTCCTATTGCACGACTGCATTAGCTGACAATGAACTTTAAATGACCCAACACGAGAAATATTTTCCATTGCTATTGTTACTAAAAGCCCTGCCTACTCCCTGGTAGCTGGCTGCACTATTGCTCTAGCAAATAGAGTGCAATTAGCTTACAGTGTAAACACTACCCATTTCTGTACAGATTCCTCATCCTCCATTCATCAGAAATAGAGTTGAGATTAAAAACCAGATTCCTTCCCCCCCCCCCAAACACCAGACTCCAGCTACAGTCTACTGTAAATGCAAAACTTGCATCAAACACACACTTTAGCCTCACATGGATGCGTTTAATATTACAGCGTTATTCCATGCTGAAAACCAAATCACAGGTTCTCATTAGCATGTGCATCTTTAACCCCCCAGCAAATACAGAATGCTATAAGTCACATCCACAAAAATGTATCTCTCGTGATCAAAAACATAAGATTTAAAGCGAGTACTGTATTTAAAGGTTGCACTCAAAATGCACAAATCTCCACTGATGCATAACCATAGATGACAACCTAAACCTTTAACAATTTAAAAATTGCCCTATGGGGGATTATCAAATATGATCCTGATCCCAGAATTTCCAATTTGAAAACATCATCTTTTTATTATAAAAAAAAGATCTTGGCTCACCGTTTAACAGGACTACAAAGTTGCACCGACAACCTCAACTCAGACTCGATACCGTCATCCTTTTAAGCAACGCATGCCGATGCTGTAACTGCATTACCTCAGAGGACCACTAGGTTTGTTTCTAGAAACTGAACCTCTGCTTTCAGCAGAACAGTTCTGGATCCTGAATCTCAAGGTCTTACATTTTTGGATCACATTTAATTTTACAGATTAAATGGACAAACTGAAATTAACACTTGTGCAAGAATCATGAATTTTAGGTTATGATAATCAG